CCTACTATATATATATATATATATATATATATATAATCTAAACTTCACAACCCTTCAAATTACAAAGGTTAAAAGATAGAGAGAGTTGTGAAGGGAGGATTTACTAATTTGTAGTTTATTTTTTTAAAAGAAAATTTGTTATATCTTCATCATTAAGTAATGGTACTTTTGTAAATGTTACTACAAGACAAGGGATACTTTTGTCATCTCCATAAAGGGTAAATTTGAAATTTTTACCAAAAGCACTCTAAAAATAAACTTTCAGGATAATAACTTCCAAAATACCATTGTACTTTTGTAAATATTTCAAATTTACCCTTGCTTAATAGTTAAGCAAATTCAGATCTAGGGTGCGGTTTGCATAGAGCCTTGTTTACAATGAAAATCTTTCTTCCGATGAAGATCTCTTGAATTTTAAACCTCAAACTAATAAAATAGATGTAAATAAAGTGGTAGAGAAAGCGAGACTGATCGAATTTAGATCTGAGGCCAGATCTATCTGAAAACAAGCAGATCTACTCTAAGATGTATGGCAAAACCATGATCCAAAGCATTAAAATAAGATTTTAAAACAAAGTTAACAAATCAAAATAAATAAAAAGAAAAATAAAACAATAAAAGAATAAAAAAGAGAGAGGAAGAAACAATACCAAATCGGGTCGGATGGACCGGGGTTCCCGAGCCTTCGAGGGCTCGCCCGTATCAGAACCGGTCCTCTTTGCCTCTCTAATTCGGATGTTGATCAGTAGATCTCTGGTGTAGAAGGGTTAGATATAGGGTTGCTGTGTCCTAAGTTTAGTTTTGGTCTAGGTCTAGGTTTTCTCAAGCTTGAGAGTTAGGGTCTTCAAGAGGCTAGGGTTTCTATCTTCTCTGGGGTTTTCAATTTGGAGATTTTTCTAAAGCCGTTGGTCTTTTTGGGGCCTAGAGGAGAATTTTCTTGGTTTTCTAAGGATTTTGTGATCTCCATATATTGAATATGAATTCTGAGATTTTCTCTACATTTTTGGAGTTTTTGGGGATTTTTCCTAATTTTTGAGGAAATTTCTAAGGGTTTTTTTTATTTTTGGTATTTTTGAATAATTTTCCTAATTTCGAGAATATCTAAGGTTTTTTTTTGTCTCTTTTTCTCTCTCTTTTTGGGGTAGGGAGATGGGGTATTTATAAGATTCAGTTGGTGATTTTTCCTAAATGTTTTGGAGTT